ACTATATAGTGGACTTTATAGCGAACTCAGTTAACTTACCGTTTGGACAGATGATCACCTTTTTTTGCTCGTCGTTGGTAACATAACTCCTCCACTGTGCAGTGCCGGCGCCATTCTTGTTATTAGTCGCCGCCGTCGGGTAGCGACAGGGCCGCTGTGATAGCAAATCCTATAATGCTTTGCGAGGAGAGCTCTCTGCACAAAGGCATAAATCTGCCTCTTTCATACACTCTGTGGACACTTTTTCTCTTACGACATTCGGCCATTTTCTAAGAACCATGGTGAGAAAGGTGACCTTCAATGACTGTCTGAAACTGTACCTCACCACACATGTGCGTCTGAAAGTGAGCATGAGCAGAAAAAGATAGCTAACGGGGCGAGCACATAGGACGGCCTTACTTAAACATATCACCAGAATGATTAACAATTAGGAGGACCACTTATTTAGATAATCCACCCGGAAATAAAATATCGTCTACTATACCTGTAAGGAATCAGTCATTTTTTGTTTTATCTTAGAGTCCCTCAGTTTGTGGTATTTTAAAGTTCATTTACCATGCTCTCTTTAGTTTCCCGTGATTTCTGATGAGGAACCTTCATAGATTCACCGTCAATAGTAGCCGTTGTTGCTTTTCATCAATAGTTTTACATCAAACCTGCCTTGAGTTCTTGTTACAACTCTCTGTTTTTTCCATTACCTAACCAAGGTTTATAGTTAAACCTGAAGTCTCCACTTTGTTTGGCAAAGTCTGTGCTCTATTTGTGTTGATAGAAGAGCTGAACAGGCACTATTCCCTAAAAAAACTGTTTGGTATTTTCTAATGGAGGTTATAGAAACTCTGACCCCCAAAATATTTAATTCATTACTTTTTTTTTTAGCTAATTTCCAAGTCTAAATTAGATACTGATTTTAATTGATAAAGGAAAAGAAAAAACAAAAAGATAACAATCTACTGCTGATAAAACAGTGGCTTGTATGTCTCCTGATCTGCGTATTAAGCATATTTCTTCTAGTTGAAGATTAGGACCAAATATTCCTACACCTAACAGTTTCAATTCAGTTCAGTTTATATAGCGCCAATTCACAACACATGTCATCTCAAGGCACTTTACAGTTCAATCAGATCATACAATCAAATTGATTCAAAGTTTTCTATCTAAGGAAAACCAGTTGATTGCATCGACTCATTGACTCAAATACAATCCCTCACACTAAGCATGCTTGTAGCGACAGTGGAGAGGAAAAACTCAATTTTAACAAGAAGAAACCTCCAGCAGAACCAGGCCATCTGCTGAGGCTGACTGGGGTTTAAGGAGACAGAAGCAGAGATACAAAAAGCAGCTGTAAAAGGCGGCCCCGTCCAGGAAACACATAGCCAGGCAGACGATATACTAGCCAACTCCCATGTCAGAGGATGAAGAGAGCACATCCAGCCAGTCACAGTCAGAGAAACAGGGCTACACTGGAAAAACAGGCTGATCTCGAACATCTATAAACAAGGGTGTTGGTGGCAGCATCACAGTTGATATTTCCTCTCCAAGATGGTCTCACAGGAATAGACAAGGCAAAGCTACTATGAGACAAAGCAGAGAGAGCATAACGTTAGAGATTGAACTAACAGATTCTGCAGAGTGGAAGAATAGAGATAGAATGATGAAAAAGGGGTCCCTATGTCCTCCAGCAGTCTAAGCCTATAGCAGCATTACTATAGAGATAGCACAGGATAACCTGAGTCACTCTAACTGTAAGCTTTATCAAAAAGGAAAGTTTTAAGCCTAGCCTTAAAAGTAGACAGGGTGTCTGCCTCACGGACTAAAACTGGTAGTTGGTTCCACAGGAGAGGAGCCTGATAACTAAAAGATCTGCCTCCCATTCTACTTTTAGAAATTCTAGGAACCACTAGTAAACCTGCAGATTGAGAGTGAAGTGCTCTGTTAGGAACATAAGGAACAATCAGATCTCTGATATCAGATGGAGCTTGGCCATTTAAGGCTTTATATGTGAGAAGGAGGATTTTTAATTCTATTCTGGATTTAACCCATTTAGGCCTAAAACGCCTGGAAAAAACACCTTAAAAACCTATGGCCGATTTTAAAAAATACCCCTAAAACCTGAAGTTTTTCTGTAAATTCAGCAACTGTGTCAACGCCTAGTAAATTATTGATATCTCAGCTTCTGTAGCAGATAGAAAAATATATTTTATCTTTGAAATTCTTCCAAAAAAAAAGTGAAAAGCAGTAATCAAAAAAAAAAAAAAATTCAACCTTTTATTTTTTCCATATGTGATCATGCCTTCATTGAGAATGTGCAATATAAAACGTTTTTAAAATAAAGAACAAACATTACATAAATAACTATCTGATGATTACTTATTAACAGTATTATTATGCATAATAATGCATATGTCTGTGTTATAAATTGCATACAACTTACCTCCAGATGGCCACAAATCTGTCCCGGGACATATTTTGGGGGAACTGCGTCCTGAAGAGAGGTTTACTCTGTCGCCAATAATCTCTTCGTACTGGCAACACAAGAAGTCCCATGCCCATACACAGCCCAATAAATGTCTTCATCTCCGTCACAGTCACGGGTGACCACTTTGCCATCTTTGCTCTTGTTGGAGTTTGGTTTGTTTGGTCACTGTACCTATTCGTCTCGGTAACAAGATGCATCCAAAGTTCTTCATTAAAAATATGCTCAAATGCCTGCAGCGGTGTGGCGTCTGCAGGCAAATCAACTTTCACTCCAGGTGTGCGGTTGAAAACACTCCGTGCATTGCGGTGGTAGTTCGATTGGTTCAGCGCGTTCAAAGTCATCATTTTCATCTATACCGTCATCAAAGCCGACACACTCCTCAAAATCACTGCCTTCCGACAACTCTTCTCTGTCAAACTCCTCCATGTTTGCTTGAAAAAAACTTCTTTCTTCTTGCTTGACTTATATGCTCTCCCGGCGTCAATGGTAGAATTACGCAACAGCGCCCCCGGCTTGAATGGTAGAAATGCGGTAATGCTTTCCCGGCCTAAATGGGTTAACAGGAAGCTAATGAAGAGAAGCCAGGATAGGAGAGATATGATCTCTCTTTTTCATTTTCATCAGAACTCTGGCTGCAGCATTTTGGATCAGCTGAAGGCTTTTAACTACAGTTTGTGGACTTCCTGATAGCAAAGAATTACAATAGTCCAGCCTTGAAGTAACAAATGCATGCACTAGTTTCTCTGCATCATCCCTGGACAGGATATTTCTAATTTTTGCGATATTCCGCAGATGAAACAAGGAAATTCTAGAAACCTCTTTTATATGGGATTTAAATGACAAGTCCTGTCAAAACAACACCAATATTTTTTACTTTATTATCTGAAATCAGTTTAGGCCAAGGATCAGCACAGCTGCTATAGCTGGAAGGAACAGGTTCACTTTAACACATAGACCTTCAGTTCTCCACCAACCTGAGTCCTACAGCATTAAAATGAAGAACAATGAATTACAATGAAGTCACAATCATGTTAGCACACTATGTTGTCCAGGTTTGTGTTAAATAGATATTTTCTTGAATAAATACACGTACACTGACAAAATAAAGTAACATTTCTCTAACAGTGAAAACCGAACCAATCTGTTTTCCCAAAATCTATTGAGAAAGAGATAAACCACACTGTTACCTGAATCCAGATATTTAGACCTTATGTTCAGATTTTTTTTAATGTAGAAGTTTTTGCAGAAATTATTAAAATGAGGCATAGATGAAACAATCAGTTTCCATTTGGTTGGATAAGAGATAAAATATTTGATGTACAAAAATCAAAGCACATTACCGTGAGCTGTGTAGTAATTTTAAGATGTTTGTATTGGTAAGCACTGCTGTGCAAAAGCCTTCAATTGGAAAACCAACCTCTTCGCCTGCAAGCTACACTACAGCAGATCTGCCTGTTTTAAATCATAAAACTGATAATTATGTCAATTTTGTCAATTGCATGGGGTAGGACAGTAGCTTCAAGCTGTTTGGATTAAAGAAAGGAGACAAAAAAAAAATCTTTTTCTGCTTTGGCTAATTTCTTATTAGTAATCTGTAATTTAATTAGTTATTAGTAATCTGTCAGATTTTCAGTTGAATAAAAAAAAAGAAACAAATCAAATGCTTAAAACATTTCAGAATCAGCCAGTTTGCTAGTTCTTCAACACCTTTAGATCTCTTATAATGCACAGTAGCAGAAGTTGCTGTTGGGTCCATTTGTGGGGTTAAAGGAACAGTGAATTATGTTTTATAAATGTTGGCAAACACCACCAAGTCACTTTTTTAAATAACTGAGCATGTGCAAGACTGTCCTACCTGCCCTTCTTTCATCACCTGACAAAACTCTTCCACACTGTATTTCTCTTCTCTAACATCAAAGATGCATCCAGAGCAGCATGGTTGGAGACAAGGTTTTAAAATGACTCAACATTTAAATCTTGTTTCCAAATATGGCCTATTGACATGCAATGACACCTCTACTCAATGTTTTAAAGGGTTAAATGCAGATTTATTTTAACCTTGGATATTAAACAGTCAATCTCAAAAATTACAAAGGTTTGTCAAACCAATTAATTTACAATCGTCTGTTAGATTGTCCTCTAATAATGGGGCTGGGCAATTGGCATCATGATTGACACCTGATCAAAATAATAAGAAAATACAGCCAGTGGAATCGTCTGTATTTTGTTCAAATCCGATTCAGAACTTGAAGCATTCTGCGGTGTGCCGAAACAGGAAAGGATTTATCTTCTCATCTCCTCACACCTAAGATAAGCGATGCTGGTGATGGGGCTGATTAAATAGAGTCAGGGTTACAATTAAGTTTCATCCTCCCCTCCCACTCCTAAATGACTGGTATAACAGGCTTATATTGTGATATATTTTTCAGCCATATCACACGGGCCTCTTACACTACAAAAGAAAAGTATGCTTTTTGAATTGTATTATTTATATGCTTCCAATGTTTTTGTTGTCATACAGGTGATGAGGTTGACTTGCATCAGAGCACGCCGGGGAATGAAGAAGGAAACTCTGGAGAAGCACCCCCAGCAAAGCGCAAAGATAAAATTTCCAAAATGGGGAAGTTTCTCAAACACTTTAGGTTTAAGAAGAAAAAGCCAAGCGAGAAGTTCACCGAAACATCGAAGGGTATGTTCACTAAAGAGTTGACTGCAAGCGCCGTTTGTATTGTGTTTATTTATTCAATGTTTATGTGCGGTATTCACTCCTCAGAATTGGAAAGGAGGATTTCGGTCAGAAAATCTCGCCAGGAACTGATTGCTAGAGGAGTTTTAAAAGAGATCCCGGAAAATGGTAGGTCTACTTCCAAGTGTTTCAAAGTAAAGTTCAAGCTCATTAGAAAATAGTGAATATCTGATGTGGGTTTTTTTCTCATCTGTCCACTCAAAAGAACTCCCAGTTAAAAATGGGCACCCCTTACCATTGGATCCAGATAGATTGTCAGAGGTGGGAAGTCGAGTGTCTCGAGATTCTGACATCAAGGGGAATCCCATTCGGTATCCTCCAGCAGATGAGCGTCGAGGCAGGGTGGCATCGGACGCTTCTCGAAGTAACAGGGCACCCCTGGACGTGGACAGTTATGCAAAATTGCCTCTGGATGTAGACAAACGAAGCCGCATTCCCTCAGATAATGATAGGAGAGGATCTTTCCCCCAACAAGATGACAAATACCATAGAGACAAGAGGAGGGATGGCCAAGATAAAAGAGAGGAGAGAGGACGGCTAGATAGAGAAGCCATAGAAAGAAGAGACTGGAAAGAAGAAAAGGAAAAGGATGGTGGAGTTGACTCTAGAGAGGAAAGGAGAGAAAGAAGAGATGAAAAGGCTGACAGAGACATCAGAGAGCGAAGAGATCGGGATGAGAGGAGAGATCAGGATCCAGATGAAAGGGAAAGGAGAAATCGGGACGAGAGGGAGAGGAGAGATCAGGACGAAAGAGAGAGGAGGGATCGGGAGGAGAGGGAGAGGAGAGATCGGGACGAGAGGGAAAGGAGGGATCGGGATGAGAAAAGAGATCGAGATCTAGATGAGAGGGAGAGAAGAGGTCGGGATGGCAGAGAGAGGAGGGACCGGGAAGAGAAAAGGGATCGGGATCCAGATGAGAGGGAGACAAGAAATCGTGATGGGAAGGAGAGGAGGGATCGTGACGAAAGAGAAAGGAGGGCTCGAGACGAGAGGGAAAGGAGGGATCGGGACGAGAGGGAAAGGAGGGATCGGGACGGGAGGGAAAGGAAGGATCGGGACGAGAGGGAAAGGAAGGATCGGGACGAGAGGGAAAGGAGGGATGTGGAGGAGAGGGAGAAAAAGGATTTGGAAGAGAGGGAAAGGGAGAAAAGAGAACGGAATAGGGATGAGAGAGAAAAGAGAGATCGTGATGAGAGAGAACGGAGGGATCGAGAAGATAGGGAGCGGTACGACAAGGAAAGAAGAGATCTTGAAAGCAGGGAAAGAAAAGAGAATAGAGATAACAGAAAAGAGGACAGAGGAAGAGAGGATAGGGAGAAGAAATATGCTAAATTTGAGAAAGAGGATATCAGGGACAAACAGGAAGACTGGATAAAGAAACGTGAAGATCAACCTGAAAAAATGGACAGAATCTTACCTGATGTCATACGTTCAATCTCTGACCTGGACCTGCGTCCTCCCATGCAGAGGAGCTCCTCAGATGACAGCAAGAGAGATTATGCAGCATTAGAAGTTGACAGAAGAACTACATTACCCAGATACAAACCGCCGGTCGAATACAGAGAACGCTCAGGTAAGGAACTTGTTCCAGAGTGGAATGCTATAATATTCCAAGACATTGCAACCTTTCTATGTTTTTCTGGGTTCCCACCAGGTTTTTACATTCTTTGAAAGTCAGGGTTTTAGAATATCTCCATCCTAAATCTAAACATTAAAGCATAAACAGCATTTGTGCTGAAATGCGCTGGGGATGATGAACAGATGGCATAGTGCCCATATGTTCGTGCTTCCGGGACGATATGTTGAGGACTCCCAAAAGTGTAGCTGCAACGTACGACTATTAAGGCCTTTAAAAACCTCAGTCTTTCAGACAGTTCTTGTTCATTTAACGCAGGCATCCCCAAAGTCAATCCTTGAGTGCTGCTGTCCTGCAGGTTTTAGAGGTTTCTCTGCTTTAGCACAGCTGATTCTGATGATGCAGTACAGCAAAAGCCTGTTAATGAACTATCAATTAAAATCAGATGTGCTGAAGCAGAGAAACCTCTAAAACCTGCAGCACCGCAGCCATCGAGGACCGACTTTGGGGATGCCTGATTTAAAACATTCCTCAGAGGCACTCAAAATAAGCACCTCTTTTCACTTTTCACAGCAGAAATGGTTGTTTGGTGAGACATCTCTCTATGCTACTCTAAAACCAGTATTACGCAAGCGTTTTGATGTCTCACCTTGGGTTATGGACAGTCCTGTATTGCCTGAAAGCTCATCTTTAGCAACCTTCAGTGGCTAGCTGAGACCGTTCTGTTCCAGTGAGGTCACAGGGTTTGAAACACTCGAAGCGACGCTTGAAACTGAGAGGTAGAACATAAAATTAAGCAAAGGAAAGCTGAGAAAATCAGTCGCTGCTGCACTTATCCATGTAGAAAGACTCCCTAAGAGGGCTCAGGATGCAGCCATTCCATGGGTGGAATGAGCAGGTAGGCCCACCATGGGGTTTAAGCTCTGGCTTGTATAGGATAGTTCAAATACTCCCTCAATCCAGGGTTAGAGATGCTGCTTTTTGATGTGGTTTCCCCTAAGGGGTCATTCAGAAGTTGCTACAGTTTAACCTTGACATCTACAGAAACAAACTTTTTTACAGGAGGGACTTGCTGAGAGAGCAGTTAATAAACCTACACGTTTAATAAATGTCAAAGAAAAATAATAGCAGTGTCTTACAGGATAGCTGCTTAAAGGAATAGTACACCCAAAACATGATTAGCCTTCATTTTCTACTCACCCCCATGCTGAACAACACTCTGGAGTACTTTTTTGATATCTCAAATGCATCTGGAGATCTGGGAGGCTTCTTGCTGTCTGCTGACATTCAAATAATGGAGGTCTATGGGGACCGAGGCAGAAAGGTCCATAAAAGTCCACAAAAAAACGTGTCAATATTCCTCCATACTGCTCTTCCAATGTATTCCAAGTTTCCTGAGTGGGTAGCATCCAGAATTTACTCGAAACGAAGTCATTTAGAATGTTTTTAGAGCATAAACAGTAGTGTATAGGATTTCCTAAAAGCGCGCACATGCACGCTCACGACGCTACGGAAGCCGGCAGACCAAGCCAGATGAAAGTGCGCATTCAGCGTCTGCTCTGCCAATAATGCAAGCGTAGAAGAAGAAATGTGCTGTTTACCTGTGCAAAGAAAGAAACAACGAAAGAAAAATGTCTGAGGACTTCAGTGTTGAGGAAGAGCATGAGTTCTTTGCCGAGCTGAATGCGCTGGTTTGGTCTGCCGGCTTCCGTAGCGTCGTGATCGCGCATGTGCGCGCTTTCAGGAAATCCTATACACTACTGTTTATGCTCTAAAAACATTCTAAATGACTTCGTTTCGAGTAAATTCTGGATGATACCCACTCAGGAATACATTGGACGAGCAGTATGGAGGAATATTGACACGTTTTTTGTGGACTTTTATGGACCTTTCTGTCTCGGTCACCATAGACCTCCATTATTTGAATGTCAGCAGACAGCAAGAAGCCTCCCAGATCTCCAGATGCATTTGAGATATCAAAAAAGTACTCCAGAGTGTTGTTCAGCATGGGGGTGAGTAGAAAATGAAGGCTAATCATGTTTTGGGTGTACTATTCCTTTAAGGTCTTCCTCCTCCAAAGGTTTAAATAGGGAGATAGCAAGGCTCCCAACACCACTCTCAGGTCCCATGGGATGCCAGGAAACTGGTAACCAGTGGAAGTCTACGTGGTGGGTTTGTATGTGACTAGGAATCATGCTTTTATCCTTTAACCTTTAAATGTTCTGGTGTGACTCATAGTTAGGATAGAACCAGTAATCAAGCCTCATTTTTCTTCAGCTAAGGGTCTTGCAGCTGAGAATCAGGGGGACACAAGCCTGGTTTAGGCTCAGAAACCAGGTAGTGTATGTTTGTGTCGCAGTTTACGCAGATATGCGTTAACAGATTGGTACCTAATGGCAGACACACTGGCTGTAGTGCCACCCACAATGCCTGGCACGACTCGGACACTATCCCAGTCACCGTGCAGGACGCAAGTCTGTAGCTCTGTGCGACGGTCTGTTGGTTTGTACCCAAAGCCAAAACAGGCAGCGCCACGGCCAGTCTTACGGGTGAGCTGTGTGTAGTCCGGCGCCGGATGAGGGGTTGTATACGGCGAACAAGCTCCTCAAACCGACACACAGAAACCCACAATCCTAGTGATTGTTCATGATTGTCCTTGCTTTGTGGCGTGGAATAACATAGCACAGACCACGCTTTAAAATATGGCATGAATCCAAAATATCTGCGTCATACCTGAGACAAACTAACTGCAACACATGGCTGTGGGAGTATAACCAGCCCAACAGTCTTCTGCTGGGTGGGCAGAGCTGCTCTACAAGGGAAGTTCAACTCCAGGTCCCCCTCTTCTTTTTTCTGGTCTGTGCTGACTCTCCTGCAGGAGAAGCTGCTAATAGTCCTGAAGACTTTAGAAAGTCGCTTGGGCATGGGACTGCCATGATGTCACCTGATGACAAGGCACCGTCTTCCTCGGTAGATAGAAACAGTCCTTTGTTTTCTGAGCCTCACACTGCTGTTGCATGGAGGCTAAAGCAGAAGCGACACATGTCCAAAATCTCATTCCTGTGATGGTGTGACAGGTTGGTCAGATTTAGCCACCTCCCTCTTTCCCTTCAAAACCTTCACCCCTATTGTTTTTTTTTCTGTGGCCTGGACTACGCAGAGCTGCATCCGGAGTCAGATGTCTGCCATGTGGGTGATCTCATCCCACATTTCAGGGCCATGATCTTGCAAAAATACACGTGATATGAGGAGAGTATGGAGATGTTTAGAGCTGTAACAGCAAACGCTATAAGCGCTTCCGTTAGTGCCAACTGGAAACGCTGTGGGTTCAAATATACTGCCACCAGTGGCTCCATTGGGTGCATATGGTCAATGCCCAGCTTCGGCATGCCCTCAAAGTCCGAAGCTGACAAAGGAGATTGGATCTGAGTCTTCTCACTGAACGGTCGGACCTTTCAGAAAACTGCTTGCTCGTCCAAAGGCTCTGGGAAAGCAGGTAGCATTTGTTTCGTGTCACCCTGGTAGTCTGGGGCAATTTCTTGCCTTTGTAGCAGGATCTTATGGTGTCTGGTATTATTTTAGGCCAGGAAATTCTGATGGATGCAGCATGTGTGCACTCTGTCTGCAAATCCATGTCCATAGTGGGGAGGTTGTCACCCTCTTCCCGCCATCCCAAGGAATCAGCATTGCAGCCTATGGACCAAGGATGAAAAATTCTTCCTCTTCATCATCTTCTGAAATACAGGGTTTGAGAAGATATATTCTTCCTCATAGGTTACATCTTAGACCTCCTCCCAGAGCGCTGTGGCCAAGACCATGGCTGGGTACAAACGTCCGCCCTAATCAATGTATAGCGCCCTATATAGGGATATTTTAGATGAGTGTCCAAACGACTCGTGGATGAAAATTAGTGGACTTGAAATTTCCCACAATGCATCCTGAAAAGTAGTGATCATCGATGGTCATTGGATGAGCAGATATATTCCAGATTGCTCCGGAGAGCTCTCTTTGCAAAGCATTATGGTATTTGTTGTATTGGCGACAAATAACAAAGATAGCACAGGCACTGCGTGGGTAAACGGAGTTAGGTGACCAGCGGGGAGCGAAAGCAGTGGTCATCTGTCCAAACGTTCATTAACTGAGTTTAATATGAAGTCCACTATATTGTAATTTAGGGATTTAGGAGTTAGGGCGGACATTGCCCAGATGAGCATTTTCCAGCCCAAGACATGTCAAGCACCGTGCTTCATAGCTCAAGATATGGATCCCACGGAGCGAGCCTCCAAGCTGCTGTCTCCTGTGATGTGAGGGTAATCGGGATCCATTTCTGTAGCTGGTTTGCTAGTTGACTTGTGTGACAGCTCAGAAGAGATGATATTAGTTGCGCTGCAGACGGTAGTGGTTATAGGTTATGGTGAATGCTGGAGTGGAAGCAGCTAGTGTCTGATGACAGAGAGTTGGGTTTAAACTTAAGCTAGTCTCATATGAGCGATATGACCTTAAGCAAGAACCCACCTATTTAGCCTGGCCAACATTTCCCTTTAACAACCCCCCTTTCAGAGACATAGACAGGTATGGGGCATTGCAGGCCAACATAAGAAGCAAAACGACCCCCATTCCAAGGGGTGGACCCGTTCATCCATTCAATTTGCATGTTTTCTAAGCAAAAAACACGGCTTTGTTGGGCTACTGTAATGGGTAACAATCCTATTTCTGACATTTGATTCAAAAAAGCTTCCTGGATAGGTAGGGATGGGGATCAAAACCCGGTTCTATCAAGGACCCGGTTCCACTTTTTTCAAAACCCGAAAATCAATAACGTTTGGGCTTATCGATACCACTATCGAGTCTGGTCATTTTTTTTTTTCTCCCGGAGGTCCTGTCACATAATTGTGTGTCACTCGAGTCGCGTCACAGCATTTAAATCTAATCAATCCAATCACTGCAGAATGTCCACCAATGTTTTGGAAGGAAATTGTAAGCAAACAGATATTAAAAGTAAAACAAGTGAAGTCTGGCAGTTAACTTCGCTCGCGACTTGAGGATTACTGAACAGAAAAGACTCCTCCTCCTCCTGCTGCTGCCGCCGCATTACAGTCAGGCCCGTCTTCATGATCCACTCAGAGTACCACTGGTAAGCGCGCACACAGACTTTGTAGCTTGTCCGGTCAGTTAAAAATAGTAATTGTGAAATCCGTGTTGTAATCGGCAGCATACAAGCTAGTTAGCTTGAAAAGTAAATAAAAGTTTCAGACCTGCTGTTTGATGATGTGTTCAGATTGTCTCAGGAAAACGACAATTAGGTTATCATGATGCATTCAAGTGTAACGTAAAGAAAAGGGAAAAATGAGTTTTTGGCGAGAAACGAGTAATACACTTGTATATTGCTCTAACTATTTTAGAATATATAATTAAACTACTGATGCCAAAATATATTAAAAATTACATTTAATTTAAAATACAATTATTTATTTGCTAAATATTTTCCTAATCACTAAAATATGATGAAAAGTGACAGTAGACAATACATTAACCAACAATTGTGAAAATATATTCTAGTTAGTTTTATGTAATTTCAAAGTGGACTATTACATTAGCCATGTTTATTGAAGACTAGAAACGTTTTTTTTATGTTCACTTGTTAAGCAATAAAAGCAATAAAAGTTCTGTTAAAACATATTGTTCCACCAAATAACAGAAAAGTATCGATAGTGGTATCGATAAAGACTCAGATCGATAAGGAGTATCGATAAAGGTATCGATATCAATAAATATTAACGATCCCCATCCCTATGGATAGGAAGCGAAGTCTAGTGTGTTGTTTTTTTTTAACTTTTTTGGAATGACCTTAAGCAAGAAGATGTTTTGAAATGAGGCTCTTTAATTGGACAAGCTTCACATTAGGTAGATGAAGCTGCAGTAACAATCGCTAGCCAATCAGCGTTAGGGTAATGATAGAAATGTGTGTGCAGAAGAGCGCAGGGAGCAATCCCCTAATCAGACATCGAAACCAAGGGCATGAATGAGAACCGCAACTATAGTTTGAACTTAAAAACCTTCCTACTCTGATCCTCTCTATACCAACTGCATAACAGCAAGAGCAGCTTTAGCAATTTCCCGAAAATAAAAGTTACAAAGTATTGACAAATTGTTTTAAATGGATCTGTCTATTAAATTTACTTCATAAAAGCTTCTTACTGTCAGATGTGCATAAGTAGGCTTTGTGTGAAAAAGTCCCCCCCCCCCCCCCCCCCCCTTCAGTTCAGCCTTTTCTGTTATTTACTATCAAGAGAGTGTATGCTGATCATTCAGTTTCTCAGAGATAAAGATGGCGCCACCTTTGCCACAACAATACACCTTTTACAGGTTTGTGAAGCACTTTGTTTGAGCTGCATTTGTTTTAAGTCTTAAATAAACAAGCCCCCCTCTAACCAAAAAAAGTAATGAAACTAAGGTCGTTATAGTTTGAAGGCTCTTTTCAAATCAGATCTGATGGAGGAGATCCTCCTTCGATGATTTAATCTCTCTGCATGTGTAATGAACCTCAGTTTCTTGTTTTGTTTGTTAACCCTTAAGGTGCTTCCTGTGTCATACAGGTGCTGGTCATAAAATTAGAATATCATGAAAAAGTAGATTGATTTCAGTAATTCCATTTAAAAAGTGAAACTTGTATATTATATTCATACATTACATACAAACTCATATATTTCAGATGTTTATTTTGTTTAATTTTGATGATTACAAATGACAACAAATGAAAATCTCAAATTCATCATATCAGAAAATTAGAATATTGTGAAAAGGTTCAAAATTGATGGCCCCTGGTGCCACACTCTAATCAGCTAATTAACTCAAACCACCTGCAAAAGCCTTTAAATGGTCTTTCAGTCTAGTTCTATAGGCTACACAATCATGGGGAAGACTGCTGACTTGACAGTTGTCCAAAAGACGACCATCGACACCTTGCACAAGGAGGGCAAGACACAAAAGGTCATCGCTAAAGAGGCTGGCTGTTCACAGAGCTCAGTGTCCAAGCACATTAATAGAGAGGCGAAGGGAAGGAAAAGATGTGGTCGAAAAAAGTGTACAAGCAAGAGAGATAACCGCACCCTGGAGAGGATTGTGAAACAAAACCCCTTCAAAAATGTGGGGGAGATTCACAAAGAGTGGACTGCAGCTGGAGTGAGTGCTTCAAGAACCACCACACACAGACGTATGAAAGACATGGGTTTCTGCTGTCGCATTCCTTGTGTCAAGCCACTCTTGAACCACAGACAGCGTCAGAAGCGTCTAAAGAGAAACAGGACTGGACTGCTGGTGAGTGGTCCAAAGTCATGTTCTCTGATGAAAGTAAATTTTGCATTTCCTTTGGAAATCAAGGTCCCAGAGTCTGGAGGAAAAGAAGAGAGGCACTTCATCCACGTTGCTTGAAGTCCAGTGTAAAGTTTCCACAGTCAGTGATGGTTTGGGGTGCCATGTCATCTGCTGGTGTTGGTCCATTGTGTTTTCTGAGGTCCAGGGTCAACGCAGCCACATACCAGGAAGTTTTAGAGCACTTCATGCTTCCTGCAGCTGACCAACTTTTTGGAGATGCAGATTTCATTTTCCAACAGGACTTGGCACCTGCACACAGTGCCAAAGCTACCAGTACCTGGTTGAAGGACCATGGTATCCCTGTTCTTAATTGGCCAGCAAACTCTCCTGACCTTAACCCCATAGAAAATCTATGGGGTATTGTGAAGAAGAAGATGCAATACACCAGACCCAACAATTCAGAAGAGCTAAAAGCCACTATTAGAGCAACCTGGGCTATCATAACACCTGAGCAGTGCCACAGACTGATCGACTCCATGCCACGCCGCATTGCTGCAGTAATACAGGCCAAAGGAGGCCCAACTAAATACTGAGTGCTGTACATGCTCATACTTTTCATGTTCATACTTTTCAGTTGGCCAACATTTCTATAAATCCTTTGTTTTTATTGGTCTTCAGTAATATTCTAATTTTCTGATATGATGAATTTGAGATTTTCATTTGTTGTCATTTGTAATCATCAAAATTAAACAAAATAAACATCTGAAATATATGAGTTTGTATGTAATGTATGAATATAATATACAAGTTTCACTTTTTAAATGGAATTACTGAAATCAATCTACTTTTTCATGATATTCTAATTTTATGACCAGCACCTGTATTTGCCCAAGTGTTGAAGCTTCGCCAACCTGTCTGTGTTTTTGTGTCTGTTTACGCCTCTGCAGAGTCTCTTGGCGTTCGCTTGCCTCTTCCCCACTCTCTGGAAGAAGATCCCCAACAGCAACAACCTGCCTCCAAGCGAGCTTTAGTTCCACCCAAATTCCTCACTGGTCACCTTTCTGATTTCAAGCACCCCTCCTTCTCCTCCTCTTCCTCATCTTCTTCCTCCTCTGGTTCCTCTGTTGAAGCTCCTATTGCCAAGCCACCAAGGACGGTCTCCCTCGTAGTAGACGACCTACCTCAGCTACCTCCTGCTGTTCCTGCCTCAGCTGACCCTGAACCGCCTCCCCCTGTCCCTCCCCACGCCCAGCAGCCCCCTGTCCCTCCTCACGCCCAGCAGCCTCCTGTCCCTCCCCATGCCCTAAAGCCTCTGGTGCCTCCGGCCACCCAGCAGCGCCCTATTTCCAATGCTAAGCAGCCTCCTGTACCTCCACCTAAACCCACCAACCGCAACAGCAATCCTGCAGCTCTTGGTGAGTTCCTGTCTTGTCATCTGTCTAATGAGTGGCTTTGGTCTGTGTGATTGTTTCCTCTTCTGAAGTTGGTCAAAGAGTCCAAATGGGACCACCACCCACTATGGACTGCCTTTTTCCTCTTCTAATCCAGCTCCATTTTTATGTTTTTATAGGTGATGGGGAAATATATCTGAATTTGAAAATTATTGACTTCAGAATTTAGTACATTGAAAAAAAAAAATCATATTAAAAAATTAATTTTTAATTCAGTATTAAACTAAGGCCCCGTCCACAGGAAATCAAAACGAACACGAAACGCTAATATTTTCCAGAACGTTTGTCGTAAAGATGGAGACGTAAAATAAATGTGATCGTCCACACGAATGCATGAAAACGCTGCAAAATGTATCCCAGGCCTGTAAGTGGCGCTGTGGTGCCAAAGCAAAAATAGGCGAAAACAGGCAACGAAATGTTGGGCATGCGCACTAATATTTATAGATGGTTGCCCTGCTGGTCCATTTTCGTGGTTCAGTCAAATTCAGGTGCTGAACTATGTCGTCGATATTGCTCTGTTCTTCCTGGAGATATTCCAGAAGAAGAAGATTCTGTTGTAAGCCCGACAGCAGGGTGAGTAGCATGAGCAGCAACCATTCAACACAGTACGGCGCCATTGTTGTTGTGATACTGTGTCGCGCATGCGTGTTTAGAGGCGACGCTATGACGCATGCGTGTAAAAAAAAAAATGCGGTTAGAGCTTAAAGATGGAAACGCGAAAACGGCGTTTCAAAATCTTCCCACTCTGAAGGCTTAATAAAAAAAACATCGTTTACAGACCCCGAAACGCCGGCTTCGTATGGATGAGAGGCTGGTTTGGTGAAAAATTTGTGCGTTTATGCCAGGGTTTGACAGCGTGTGGACGGGGCCTAAATATCTCAGTGTCGTGATTTATCCACCAGTTAAAAACTAGTCAGTTTTGTTATAGTAATTACTAATACTAATCCCAACCACTAAAGGTCTGGACTTCCCACTGGCCTCATGGATCAGTTCATTTCCCCCCTTGGTTCGTACATTTTGTGCAGATGTATACACCCGCACCCTGGTTCCGAGAGCCATCTTTTGAGGTGTTCTAGGTGTCACTACCTGATTCGTCCTGGTAGCATGATCCGTCCTGCGAATGCGGGAACAGAATTAATTTCTCTTAGGAAATAATTAGTTTTTCTTACTTTTTATTCTTTTGTCTTTTTCCGGCGGAGGGTTCCTTTTGAATATATTTGTATTTGCATAAATATTGCATATTCTAAAAATGAAAAAAAGAAATACACTTAAATAGCCTTTCGAACGTTACTGTGACTGCTCTGAACATGTCCGAAGATGACGTCACCCCAAAACAATGTCGAGAATGTAAAACGTATCCATTTTCTCTAGAAGAGTCTTCAATATTTTCTATGCAATGTAGTTTATCAGTCTTTCATGTTTTAAGTATATAAATAAGTATTTTTTGTATCATTATTATGTAGTTTTTTGGTGATCCGTGTCTTATTACTTTGTTCACGCATGCGCAGGACGGATCGTGCTTCCGGGACGGAACCGGGTAGTGACTCTTGCTCCTCTTTCAGATAAACTGTGGTGCTTTAGGTCTGACTAAAAATTGGCTTTGATCTGACAAAGCATGCAAAAGCATACATCTCTATGGACTTAGCCACTGTAGCAATGATTTTACATTAGTATCAAAATCGTACCTGATTTGATCTGTTGCCTAGTAACACTACTTTCAGCGTGTGTTGGATATCTTTCAGGTTGCAGGAAGTAAAATTTAAACATGAACTGAACCTTACAGAAAAGATGACGTCCACTTTTGGACCAAGTGAGCGAACCACAGGACTTTCCTGGGAACCCAGCGCTCCCACCCTGTCTGCTGCATGTTCTTGCTGAAGGGTGTGCTCTCTTCCAGAATATAAATACTGAAGAGACCACTGTGATAGGAAGCTCAGTGAAGTGAAACCTCATCATTGTTTGTTTGGATTCCCAGGATTTACTAAGAGTTCTCAGCAATTATTTAAAACTGCTTCAGCACAGATACGGTACCAGTGAGTCCTTATCTGTTAACCAGTATTATAAGAGAAATAACAAAATGCTCTGTATTAAAATTACTCTTGATACGGAGGCTGGAGATCTGAGTCATACTGAGCTGTATCAACACAGAGTTCAAACAGTGCTTCAAATGATCAATCTTTGTGTTTTTTTTTTGTTTTCTGTATTGTTTTAGAAATTAGTCAAGGTTTGTTTTGGTATGACTGAAACTGCCGCTGGTGGGGACAATATTCCATAAAAAAGTAAAACGTTACAGACTTTGTCATAAATCGTGTTCTCGTCAATACAAGTAGGATGGGCTTCAAGTAAAACATTTGTTTGCTGCTTGACACACTAGACAGCAAGACAATTATGAGAAGATTATGGTAATTACGCAGCCTTCCTCTGGTTGCAATCAACATAAGTTGGGGTAGGGCTGGGCCTAGTGGCTAAAAAATAAAATTTCGGATTCACCTTAATTATTAAGGAAAGCAATATGTACAAACGGGTCACCATGTCTTTGGCTATGCGGGGGGGCACATCACTACCGCACCGCTCTATTAGCAGCCGTGCTTCTGTTAACAGCTAGCTTGTTAGCTATCTGGACCAGTAAGCTTGGAAAATATTCACTTCAATACACAACCCTATTTCTTCCAATACAACCGCATCTAAATAAATCTGTCACCCCACCCCCCCCACCGAACTCTATTTTGCACATTTCAATACAGTAAATGTGCAAAATAAATCCGGGCATACACTGTACGATTTTTTTTGCCCTTTTCGGTCCGATTCTCCAGTTGTGCGAGAATTTTATTTGTTTCAACGGGCCGACTTTCAGCCTGATCATGCGTCATGTAGTGTACAGTGGGTGACGAGGGGTGAACGGCCTCCCACAACTAACTCCCAATCAGACATAAGGTTTAGAGAAAATCAAACATGTTGGAAATACAATCGGCTGTCATAAGGTTGTCGTGGGCAAATCACTCAGTGCGCCAACAAGGATTCTTCTTCTTCCTCTCTGACAAAAACATAGAAGTATGGCGGGGGTGAAAGTGAAATGGAGTTCTTTCTGTAAAATTGACAGACCGTAGTAGCCACATTTGCTCAGCCATGTCTTTGTCCAAATACATCGTCACCTTTTCTTTTTAGGGCTTTCAGCACAAAATTGCACAAATCGCCAAGGCAGTGCGTTTCTCTCTAGTGAGCTTCATATTTAACAGGAGGCATCGATACTTCCATTTTTTTTCATCTTCTACTCGTTTGGCTTCTGGATAGACGAGTCCTAGTAGCGCCATCTCACTGCGGAGCTCAGTCCGACGTGGTTTTTGGATGTACGGTGTGAACAGATAGATCACATCAGAGCTTCGGATCGCACAGTGTGAGAGCATACATTGTGAGCTGTAGCTGTGTGCGACGATTGAGAAAATCGTACGACGTACAAGTGACCGAGAAATCTAAAATTAACAATGGCAAAAATATGCAAACAACTCTTATTAGTAATTATTTGTGGATACAGCGTCTGAGTATTGATACTCCTGTTTAGTATAAAACATCTGTTGGTTTTTTATCATGAGCTCTCTGACTGGATTACTATTGGCTGCTGTAGGCAAACTTTCCAACTGTCTGAGATGTGCTTCAACTTGCTTTGACTTTCTGCAACGCCTGTCAAGTTTTTCTGGAGGGCAAAATAAAACTCACTGTCTCTTTATTTTTAATATCCTCTGCCCCAGCATGCCACAGTTGCTCATGTTTTGCAGCCCATCCCAGTATTGTTGGTGGAGAATCACATTCCTCTTCCATTTGGTAGATGAGATGACATTTCTCGGTTACAAATGGCGAAGTACACCATGCGGTCTGTAGGCTGTCGATACCTTTTCAGAAACACACCGAAGCACAGAGTTCTTCCTGAAGCCCTTTGTTGTTGTTTTTTATTATTAAGATGTATTTCTTGGCGGTCAGTTCTGTTCAGTTCTGAGCCCGGATGAGAAAACTCAAGCCTTTTATGTTACATCAAGTTGTTTAGAAAAGCAGGGGGGTTACCATTAGGCACTAGACAGTCACCTAGGGCCCTAAGTTCCTGGGGGCCCCATAAAACTCTGTTTTATTCCTTTTTTGTGCACATTATGTTTTTGATAAAAATCCTTTCGCTAAAATGCCCCCCACCACATTGGATCATTCCATTTGCAGCACATGTTCAGAACCTATTAAAGCAGCTAACGCTGCTCTCCAGAGCCTCCTGCTCTCCTCTATGTTGTCTGCTGTCATGATTCATGCAGCTATTATTTCATCCAAATGAAAAATGGAGAAAAGATAAGCAGATCATGGCTTGTCTACAGTGAAAAGAAGGACTGGGTTATTTACTTTGGCCTTTTTGGAAACACAGGAAGGAGCAATCAGCTAAGTGAGCTTAGTGCTTGGAAAAAATCTCTCATTCCTTTTGAGACAGCATGAAAAGTCAGCTGAGGAAAACGAGAAGAGAGGGACAAAACCTAGAACAGATAATGTATGCCTGTTCTATTAAAATTTCTGTATCTTTATAATGGTTCTGTTTTATGTTTTGTCTTCTCAATTCAGAGGGCCCCCTGCCTGTCTTTGCCTAGGGTCCCAAATTTCCTAAATCCGCCCCTGAATAAAAGATATGTGCTCATGTAATTTGGCCTTAGCCAATAAATCAGTAAAGTTCACCTACTGTGAGCTGTTGGATCACCCTGTTGGAGAGTTGTTAGAAAAATCACCATAAATCCATGCGCTGCTCTTGCCTCTGTTTTTTATCTTCTGTTCAGTTAATCTTTCACAGATAGTGTTTATCAAAACGGGGGATGCCTCCCTCCCACCCCTGTCTCATGTTTATCTCCCAGCCTGGAATGTAAACCCAGCCACGTCCCTGACATCTCCACTCATTTTTGCCAGCTTCCTCCCTGAACAGGGCTTCTCATGTCAGGCAGCTGTGTTATTGGAGCGGCTTCAGGGGGCAGGGCGAGCTCAGCCTCTACCTCTCCCTGCCAGGGTACCTGCGCCACAGGACCTGCTCAGGTACCCTGCCAGAAGACCGACCGGCTTAATGAAGCCTGCATGCTGAATGATGCATTGATTTGATCATTTCACGTCATATAGCTAAATATCAATGCTAACTCCATACATTTTCTGCTGATAATTCAGCTTTTTTGTTTTTTGGAAGTGCTACTAATTTGTCTGAATGAACCCAAAATGGCATTGCATGAAAATGTTAGAATGGACTGAACATCATCTTTAATTGAGCTGACATCCTAACCTACCACCTGCCTGGAAAGAGTTTAGCTCTGAGACGGTTTCCTACTGACCAAAACTGGCTGATTAGTTGTGAAACTAACCTCCCTCCTGTGACTGATGGTGTCTCATCTCTCCACGTTGTTACGTGGTTTTCATCTATAACATCAGTGTTTCAGACATTAATGCTGTTTGTTTGTTTTATTCTACAGCTGAGTTTTCTCAGCCCACCAGCGGTGTGATCGTAATCCCAGCACCTGCTAAACGCTCTCCGCCCACCCCACCGAAAAGGATGACGCCCGTCACCAAGCGCCATGCTGTAGATCCCTCCCCTCCTGATCAGATCGCGGACCCTCCAGCCCCTGTTCTTGCCCCCCCCCCTGTTCCTAAAGGAGGAGGCAGTGAAGACAAGGTGCAGACAGCGATCCCAGAGACTTCAACAGAGCCTGGGCCCCCGCTGCCCTCCCACATACCTCCATCTCCTCCCAGGGTTAAGGTGCTCCCTCTGCCCAACTCCTCCTCTGGTGGTGTGCCAGCCTTACAGACTGACCCCCCCAGCCCTACCACTGAGCCTCCCAGCCAGCCTCCAGCCATCCCATTACACATCCTTATTAAGAGAGCACTGGCGAGTCCCGGTCAGGGTCAACCCAACCCTGAAGGCAACCAAAGGGCCCACTCGCTGCTCTTTGATCTGCCACCAGAGCTCCCAGAGGAACCAGCAGTGAACACGCGCCACTCACTTCCTGTTTTCATCGAACCTCTGCGGCTGTAAGTAACATAATGTTAATTGGTTGATTCATTAATCCAATCAATACCTGACATTCTCCCCATTTCAAATCCATTGTCGTTAGTCTGATTAGGTAATAAATGTTTATTTCCTTTAAACTGAGGCTTGTTTAACAATTTTCATCACTGTATCATTTTAATCATGCAAACACAGGCAGGAAAATGCAACAGTGGCTTCAAAAAATCAGACCAAGCAAAAAATTCTTGCACGACTAGAGAATCGGCCCGAAAGGGCAAAAAATCATAGCGTATGCCCAGTTTTATTCTTTCTATTTTTAGGCTAAAAATCTCCTGAAACAATAGAAGAGTTTACCCTTTTATAGGCCTCTGCCCTTAATTTAATTACACTGTCAGTTTGAATCTTTACAGATATATTGTTTTCAGGATGGCCTGCGTACAGGATTTAGTATTTCTCATGATGGGTGTGCAGGTGGAGCAGTGGTTAGCGCGCACGACCAATGTACGGAGGCCTTAGTGCCGCATGTCTCTCCCCCCTCTCTCATACCCTCTTTCCTGTCAGCCAACTGTCAGAAAACGAGCCACTAGTGCTGTAAAAACTCCCAAAAAATTTTTAAATTTTATTCTATTGTCAGAATATTGTTCAAAAGAAAGAAAACAAGAAGAGTTAAAAATTTGACTTAATCAGATTTGCTCTATTTTAACATTTTTATACTTTGTCTTTAATGGCTTACAGGTGATTTAATCTAAATAAATTGATTGATAAAGTTTTTTAATGTTGTCATGGTTACAAAACATTTGTTCTGTTACTCATGAATATATATATTAATATATATATTCATGAATATATGTATTAAGCTTATAAATGTCAAGACGGCCAATCAAAATGTGCAATCATTTGTAGGTATATGAGAGTTAATTCTTAAAAATCTAATTTTATTTTTTTACATTCTGAAATTCAATTTCTGATGCAAAAAAAATGTAATTTAGAAAATCTGTTATTACAGTTTGGACTGGGAATGGGATTGTGACCAGGAAGAATCTTATGTAGGTGATCTACAAATGAAACATCAGAGAGGAGTGTGCCTTTAATAAACGTCACTACGGCTTGCCATACAGGACTACATATATACTTACGCATCAACTCCAGCAAAACACTTCTCCTATACCATCTCTTTCTTTTGTAGCTCTTTGTTTTAAAAATTTTCTCCAACATTTGTTTCTTAATTTCTTCATTAAAATCAGGAGTTCTAGTTGAGTGAAATAGGCACCTCCTCTTGCCTGTTGTCATGGTGACTCGTGGACTTGGGATCATGGTTTTCGTAGTTGTTGCCCGGCTCCAAGTGAACCTATTCAGACTTGATTAAACTAACTCACAGCAGCTGTTTTAAAACCGAAAAACTCAGTTTCCAACATTAGGCCAGATCAATTCAGAGTGTAGGATTTAAGTCCGAGTTTGTTGAACCTGCTTTGTAAAATGGGCCTGAACTGTGTGGACTTCTTCACCATAGAAAGGCTGGATTTAGTATTTAATGCAGAATAGGCTGAGTTTTAAAATAGAAGTTCTACATAAAAAAAACAACAACAAAAAAACAGTTGTCCAGCGTTGTATGTATAACTTATCATGGATTGAAATTCAGCACCTGATATCTTGATTTCTTTCCAGGCCAGAGGATGACGACTTCGACATGGAAGAAGAATTGCAGAAGATTAAGGCTCAGCAGGCCCCCAAGCAGCCGGGGCTGGAGCCCCGCAGCAGGAGGGCCTTGATTGGAGACCCTAGAGTCACCATGATACCTGAAAGTAACGACCACGGGGACAGGCGGGAGGACTCGGACTCTGACTCTGAGGGCCCCATCCCATACAGAGACGAAGAGAGCGATGAAGAAGGAGGTACGCCGTACTTTTGTTGCAGCTAGAGTCGTTCAACATCACTTTGAAGCTTTCTTCAAAATGTACTTGGACACACAAAAGCCACTAAAGGTATGTCATTAGTCTGCTGGGTTAACATGGTGCCGTGTATAAATGTTCAGCAGGTAGGCTGGGGAGATGTGTGGAAAGAAAGGACACATTGGCCCGGAAGCTTGAAAAACAGAAGCAGGAGATTGAAGACTCAGTTAGTTGGAGCAACAGGGAACAGTGGGAGGCTGTGAGGAAGAAGATCGGTTCTACGCTCACACGGTAATCCCCACACATCATCCACAGCCCACTGCACAGAACAGTGGAAATGTTTAGCTTCTTCTTTGATTTCAAGTGTTCTTATGCTGTAGTTCATCCAACTCAGAGATCCAGCAAAGATAGGATCTGCTTTATATGAAACCTGATATCTCAAACATAAACTTCTTTCAGAACTAACATGTCAATTCGTTGCTTATTTTTAGGCGGCTGAGTCAAAGACCAACAGCTGAAGAGCTGGAGCAGAGAAACATTCTTCAAGGTGAGCCTTGCTTTGTTCCTCCTTCACAGTTCATTTTAATCTACCAGTCATCTGCATAAAAAGGTCAAAGGAAACATTTATTTAATTGGTCCTCAGCTGACTGACTATAGGTTCACCCCCAATTTAATCTGTTTTTAAATGTCTTAATTCCATGGATTTTCTTACATTAAATAAATAAAGCAACATATGTTCATTAATGAATACTTTTTGTTGTGGAGTGCCCAGTCTTGGTGGCTGAGGCCTGTTTTAGTATATCAGCCTCACTTCATCATGCTTGGCTGAAGGCCCTGTGTGCAGAGCGCTGCTGCAGCACCTCTGAATGTGGAAGTAATGTGAAACTAGGGACACTGCACAGTTGTTCCAGTCAGTCAGCTACAGGCAGTGCAGTAAACAGGTTTCCAGTCTCTGAGGGCTGCTGGGTTAATGGCAAACTATCATTATTGACCTGGGGATCATTGAGGTCTGACTGGGACGGATCTCTGGGCTGATATAATTTAAGCTGTGCTCAGGAATTGTTATGCCTCAGAGGCTAGATGCAAGCTGGAACAAATCTGAACACCAAAGGAAAACATTCCCGTTAAGTTTGGCACACAGGAAACTACACCTGAACACCACCTCTAAGGAAGATGGTCTGTTTCTAGCTATGATCTGATTAGTTTTTTTCCCCATTGGTTGGTACATTCAGTTATAGTGTAAGGTTGGCGTAGTGCATGGTTGGACAGCAAGTAAAAACAAGCTAATCGACCTGCTGAAGGTGTCAGGTTCTGTACCCTAAGAAAAGACCAGAAGTCAGAAGGTTTGGACTTCTTTTTTTTGTCATTACACTGTCACATGTACAGAGCAATGCATTTAACCCATCCCCTTGGGGAGCAAGGGTCCAGGAAACACAGCCAGGCAGACGAGCTCCGAGTCAGCTCCTGTTTCAGAGGATGGAGAGAGCACATCTAGCCAGCCACAGTCAGAGAAACAGAACTACACTGAAAAACGGGCCGATCTTGGACATCTATAAACAAAGGTGTTGATGGCAGCAACAGAGCTGATATTTCTCTTCAGGGTGGAGTCACAGCCAAACAGGAAGAGACCAGATGAAGCTACTATGAGGAAAAATCAGAGAGAGCAGAACGTTAGAGATTGAACTAACAGATTCTGCATAGTGGGAGAATAGAGATAGAATGAAGCAGAATGATGAAAAAGGGTCCCCATGTCCTCCAGCAGTCTAAGCCTATAGCAGCACAACTACAGACAAGATTTCCATGGGTCATTTGAAATAATTAAAAGTCATTAAATTATTATTCAATAAATTATTAAATTATTATTTTTTTTTAAATAAAAATCCTTAATTGGCATTAAAATGCATTAAATTTGATTATTGTGGCATTTAAAATGCTTTAATAAAAAAAAAAGTTTATAAAAACCCTTGTTTTTATATATATTCAATTCAATTTCAATTCAGTTTATTTATATAGCGCCAAATTCACAACACATGTCATCTCAAGGCACTTTACAGTTCAACCAGATCATACAGTCAAATTGATACAAAGTTTTCTATCTAAGGAAAACCAGTTGATTGCATTGACTCATTGACTCAAATACAATCCCCCACACTAAGCATGCTTGTAGCGACAGTGGAGAGGAAAAACTTCCTTTTAACAGGAAGAAACCTCCAGCAGAACCAGGCTCAGTGTGAGCGGCCATCTGCCGAGGCCGACTGGGGTTCAAGGAGACAGAAGCAGAGATACAAAAAGCAACTGTAAAAGGCGGCCCCGTCCAGGAAACACACAGCCAGGCAGACGAGCTCCAAGGCAGCTCCCATGCCAGAGGACGAAGAGAGCACATCCACTCAGTCACGGTCAGAGTAACAGGACCACACTGGAAAACAGGCCGATCTCCAACATCTATAAACAAGGGTGTTGATAGAAGCAGCACAGCTGATGTTTCTTTCCAGGATGTTTCTTTTCATGATATATATGAATGAGAGTCATGGGTCCTTGTTGATTTGTTATTTCTAAGAGCATTAAAAAACATTAAAGTTCCTTATTCCTGTATTGTGATGGCTCAGGATAAACTGAGCCACTCTAACTAGAAGCTTTATCAAAAAGGAAAGTTTTAAGCCTAGCCTTAAAAGTAGACAGGGTGTCTGCCTCACAGACTAAAACTGGTAGTTGGTTCCACAGGAGAGGAGCCTGATAACTAAAAGATCTGCCTCCCATTCTACTTTTAGAGATTCTAGGAACCACTAGTAAACCTGCAGATTGAGAGCGAAGTGCTCTATTAGGAACATAAGGAACAATCAGATCTCTGATATCAGATGGAGCTTGGCCATTTAAGGCTTTATATGTGAGAAGGAGGATTTTAAATTCTATTCTGGATTTAACAGGAAGGAATGAAGAGAAGCCAGGATAGGAGAGATATGATCTCTCTTTTTATTTTATCAGAACTCCAAGAGTAATGTCCTGACCACTAGGCCACACTCCCCCTTAGGAGATCGGTGCATAATAATAACAATCTGTGCAGTTGGCTGATTTTTGAGCAATATTAGTTTGTTGCTGTGTGTTTCATTATGGCTTCTAAGAACAAATGCAAGACCATAACTCCATGAGAACATTAGAGCCGGCCTCGCCTATTTACGCTAGTAGAGTCAGCTTCAGGCTATGATCAATTTTTAATCTGTGAGTTACCAAAGTCAGTCTGAAGGAAACTCTTCATCTCCATTCCTGTATACCGCGATAAAAACCCTAAAGCAGAAATGTTTGTCAGACTTCATACTTCGGTTCTGTGGTCTGTGTTATTTCTGCAGTTTCATAATGCTTCATAATAAAATTTCCACAAGATATACGATTTATAAAATTTCTCATTGCTGTGATCCAATCTGTGGATCAGGAATCCACATGTAAGTTGAAAATCTGTTTGCAACAGTAGATCAGTTTTAGCTACTCAACCTTTAGATATTTGGGAAGTGGCAGGAATGTATACAGGCGCAGACAGGCTCTATAAAAATCACGCTAAAATGAAGCGGGTGTCGAACCAACAGTGTTTGAAAAGCTTGACTCTGTTCATCTTTATGAGAATGTTTAAAGGACAACTTCCCTGTAAAATCAGTAAAATCAGTGATCAGGTTGAAATATATATATATATATATATATATATATATATATATATATATATATATATATATATATATATATATATATGTTAATATGTTAATTGTTACACCGAAATCCCATAAAAATTTATGAAATTAATGAAAAAATTCCCCAAAAAATAATGGATTGTAATTATTTTAAATGATCCGCCGAAACCCTGGATCATTTCCGTATGTTTTGCTGCTTTGAATTTAATCATCTCGCGCATCCTCTCTACGATCTCCAAGGAACTCAGAGGGGAGCGGACGGAGGGAGCCACAGAGGAGGCTGTAGGCTTTGCTTTGAGCAGCCGATCTGGAGCGCAGCGGGGCTTGCTGACAGAGTATGAGGGATTTCGGGGTTAGCATGACATGTTGGTCATGTTGCTGTTAGCATAAACAAAACGTGTTGCACAATGCTTGCACACTGTTGCAATTTTATCCACAACTTTCTTTCCGCCGTCATCGTAGGTCACTCTAAATGCAAAGCGCTCCCATACAGCAGACCTATAAAGTGCTGCTGGCGCGTCTTCCAACTCCTGTTCTTTCCCACTCGCCATTCCAACACAATTCTCCACAACAACTGATTTTTTTCCCTGCTACACCCGGCTTAGCTGCTTCGCTTCTTCTTCTTGTTTACTACTGGTGGTTGGCTCTGGTCGCAGTACCGTCACCTTCTGTTCTGGAGTGTAAACGCTTTGCCTATGAGAAAAAGGAGCAGCGCATGAACCAAACGAAACACACGCGAACCGAACCGAGACAGTCGAACCGAACGGTTCGGACGGTTTTCATAAATCATCCCATCCCTAAAATATATATATATATATATATATATATATATATATATATATATATATATATATATATATATATATATATATATATATATTTCAACCTGATTTAGTTTTTTAGATTATTAAAACTTTGATCTAAGCTGCACCCTTTATGAATTATTGAACCGATTGGCATCATTTAGTCGCACAGGAGTGAGTGAGGAGAACCAGTTAGTCTGGCCCAGACCATATATGGTGTGATCAATGGGTTCTTTTGTGATTATTTTTGAAGAAATAAAGCAATCTAATCAGATCAAACACTAAATAAATAGAGGACAAACATAGATTTTAAGAATGACTGATGAATCTATATATTGCTTAGCAGGGATCCAGGAAGACGTTTTCAACATAACGGTTCTTAAAGTGAACTTGTTTAAAGCATCACGATGTGAAGTTGATCCAAGTACTAGCTTCATTTGAAATCTATTCAATATTTTTTTTTCTCAGATCAGTGCAACACTTGGTGCGTATCAATGCTGGCTGCTTTGCTTGCAAACTTGTCTGTGTAACTTGAGAGGGTCGGATCTGTTGCCGACTGAGTCATTTAGCTTTATGGCAGTTGTCATTAGGCAACAAAACATGAGACTTCACTGATCAGACATATTTTTGGTTCTCTGATGTAGGATTTGATCCAGAGTGGTAAATGTTTCCTGGTCTTTACAAGGAGCTCCATGATTATGATCCATAGTGCTCTGCTATTAGATTCCAAAACACAGAAGGAGACTGTAGCCGTTTTTCAGGTCACAAGAATGGAGAAATTCTCGTGAATTGTGTCAGTGGGGGACTGATAATTAACACAGTCAGATAAACACAAATCAAATGAGCATTTTGCCAAATAAAACAAAAAACTCTCTGTCAGAGCCAGCTGTACTTCACACACAGCTATGCAGAGAGAAGGCTGCTGCAGACGGGCTTAAATTCGCCCTAGCGGCAGCCTCGGAGGTCCGCTGGTTGAGATGGTCCTCTCAACATCAGAACGTTTTTTTGAAATTATGCACTAAATCAGTAAATGTCGACATATCGATGCTTAAAAATATAATTCTTGCCTCAAATGATCTTTAAAATGTAGTTTTATAGAACAACAGCAACAGAAAAGTGAGCTTTTAACTTAGTAATCTGTGCTTTGTGAGCGCTAACCTGGAAGCAGCTGGTGCCGCAGTGCATGCTGGGACAGCTGTCAATATCAAGAATGGACAAATCTGCTCTGATGCATGCTGGGTAAATAGGGAGGGGCGAGAACAACATCCGGAGAGTTTGTCTGTTCTCTGTCTTCTGGTTCTTGTGAATTGGAACAGGACTAGGCCTGATGCTGATCATGTTTCACGAGCACATGAGAACGCACAAGTACACACATTGAGAAATGGCAAGTGTGATTTTACGACAGTTGAAAGCCGCCAGTTGCTTGTCGGGGTGCTATAACTGGAAGTTACAGGTCAAGTGCCCCTGGTTGCACCTTTTTGCTTCAGAGGAAAATGATTTTGAAGTGAGTGTTTTAACAACGGAAATACCCTGAAAGCAGCATTTTAGTCCAGATAAATAAGGTTATTTAGCCGACCAGATTTTGCCTTCAAACTTTTAGCACCAAAGAAGCTCTCTTTGCTGGGCTATTCTTTAATAGCAGATGACATTGAAAGAGTGGCTTGGCTGTATTTACTAAATAAAGCTAGAGAACGCTGTCATCGGAGGCCAGAGAAGAGAGTTTTACCACCCACTCCCAGAGCTGCACGCTGACAATTCCTGCTATTTTCCTCTCATCCAAGCCCAGTTTGATGTCCTCCTGAGCTGCATCAGTGCCTTCATATCACACCAAGACACCAACACCTACCGGAGCCTCTGATTAGTTGTTGTGGCGTGTAGAGCAAGTTCAGATTCTCCAACCCAAGAGTCAGCTGGTTGTTAACTGCCTTGAATGCTTCATTGCTCGTTTCATGGTGCTCCAGCTGCAGGAAATGCTCTGATGGACATTTTCAACCACCAACGGGGTCATTTAGACGTGCCTTAATGCGTGTCAACCATAGATTTTGCATGTAAGCTGGCTGCTCAAAGCACGTTAATTGTGAATGCAGCATTAAGGAGAACCCCTTTCAACTGTGACGCTTTCCCTCCAGCAGACCTGTGCCATGTTTACAGCTGGATTCTTTTCTTGACACCGACCCAAACACATAAAACAGCCTTTGTAACTTTTTCTGATGGCCTCATAAAAAAAGAAAAACAAAAAAAAAACACAAAAAACAAAACAAAAACTTTTTTAGGAAGCCCTGCAATGGAGATCTGCTTTCTCTTGCCACATGTTTGCTAAAAAAACAAACAAAAAAACAAGCAGACTTTAGTGTCTATGATTTGGTGTAAAACAGCGCGGGCTGTGTGTAGTGATCAGTGTGCTGGATCAATAAAAAAAGGTATTTTTCAGTTCTGATCCAGGTTTTAAACCTCTCTGCTGGATCTCATCTGCCTGCATAGCTGTAATCAGGACAACATGGCTCCTTGTGCAGATCTTGACAATTATTAAAGAGTCCCATTATGGCAGCATGCAGATGGCAGCTCAGGTGAAACGTACCTGATTCGCTGCTCTACTTTTAGCTTTGGGATTAAAAATCTCTCTCTTTCTACAGCCAAGAACGAAGCGGATCGACGGCTAGAAAGATCTGAGATCAAACGAAGACTCACAAGAAAGGTGTGGAAGCAGTAGTGCAATATGGTTTGTACATTTAAGAGTAGTTTAGCTGATGGCAGGTAATGACCCTCCCTCTTCTCTCCACTTCAGCTTTCTCAGAGACCCACCGTGGCTGAGCTGCAGGCCAGGAAGATCCTGCGGTTCCATGAGTACGTAGAATCCACCCATGCTGAAGACTACGACAGGCGCGCAGACAAACCGTGGACCAAGCTCACTCCTGCTGACAAGGTGAGACACATCCTCAGAGCACCCAGAGTCCCTGCTGGGTTTTCTTTACAGTATGGCGAACATGCTGCACTTCCAATTTCATAATACATGTTTCCTTTTGATCCTATTTGCCTGATTTAATTATTTATTTTTTCTTCACTTCCAGGCTGCCATCCGCAAAGAGCTCAACGAATTTAAGAGCACAGAGATGGAGGTTCATGAAGACAGCAGGATTTACACCCGGTGAGGAGGCTAACGTCCTCCATGTTTAAATCACTGTTGCTCTGCTTTGGTTCTCTTTCACTGTAGTATCAGGGCCTTACAACAATATTAATGCTTCCTTGAACTTCCATGTTTTGTCACATTAGAAATGCAAACTTCTTTTATTTTAGGGCAATCAATTATTGAAATAATTATCAACTAAATTTATCAACTAGTATATAAACTTTGCCTTTTTCTCGTTGCTTAAACATCACATGTACACCTTCAATCCCACCCAGAGAATTTACATTAAATAGACTTTTTGCTCTGGAAATTAACATATTGTATCAAAAAGTCCTCAATTGGCATTTCTGACATTTGAACTCATTTCTTTTCTTTTGTTGTTGTTTTTACAACTTAAAATATATTTATAATGAGCAAAACACAATGCTTTTAGTTAAAATTTTTGTTCACCAAGATATGTTAATTAACAAGGTACTGGTGAAGATTCTCAGTCATCCAGGTCATAGTCATTCCACTGGACTTGGAAGACGTTTCGCTTCCCATCCAGGAAGCTTTTTCAATTCAAAATGTCAGAAATATTGTTGAGTTCGAGGCTTTATACAGTAGCCTAAAAAAGAAAATGGAACAGACAAATGGGTCCACCCCTTTGGAATGGGGGAGGTTTAGCTTTGTATAAAGCCTCGAACTCAACGTTTTTTTCTGACATTTTGAATTGAAAAAGCTTCCTTGATGGGAGGCAAAATTTCTTCAAACTTGGAACCACCTCCAGTGGATTCTTTTTTAACTTTATTGGAAGGAAGAATTAATAAACCACCTCTTTTTAGATTAATCAGATGTTAAGATAATTGATAGCTGCACCTTTAACGTTTTGATTTAATACGATAAAATGAAAACAGATCAAAATCTGATGCACTTCAATTCAGCTGCTACTCTTTTAGGTCATGTTTGCTCCTTGGGTTTAAAAAAAAAACTCCACTTAAATACACTGATTTTTTTTGCAGTTCTGGAATGCAATACCAGAATATTGTTTGGAAGCTTTTACTGTATGTCAAAAAATTTAGGAGTTCCTGACATCTTTTCTCCCCCCCAGATACCATCGACCCTAACTGCTCACGTCACCACGGAAAGCACTTCAATAAACTGGGAAGCAGCAGCTCCGTTGTCTTCTTCCTTTAACCGGCCTCAGCTGGACGACGGCACCGATGATTGGGACGCAGGCGTGGGGCTCAGCCAGTGCTCCCAGCAGCAGACAGTCGCTCCAGTCAGTATTGGAACCCCCCAATGCAAACACTAAACACATAAATGACCCCCCCCCCACACGCTGCTGGGGTTCAGCTGGACCAGAGGGACCTTCATGTGTTCAGACCCCTGATCACTGAAAGAAAACTGCAGCTGATGTTCAAGCTTCTGATGGTACCATGATGCTGTTCTGCCTTACTCCTCAAACTTACCCACTGATGTCAGGCTCAGGCAAAATGTGAAATAGACCTAATACAATCAGACTGCAGGCTGATTCCAACGGCAAAGGTGTGCGTTTTACTGTTTTTGTTAATCCCTCTGATTACTCTCCTTAAACCCATATTACTAGATTATTTTTGATGAGGCACCTTGTGTTTTTGAATGGGGTTCATGAAATAATTACAGCCTTTAATCCTGTGTTTATATTGAGATTTTGAAAGCAGGAGAATGTACATATTTTTATTTTCCTGCCCGTTTTAAGGTACTTTATATAATGCTGGTCCATAGCTGGATGCAGTTGTATAGAATAATAATGTAGATTTGTTGGACTTTATATTGTAAACTACTGACTTGAAATTCTGACGTTTTAATTAAATATTTTTCTGATGTAACTTCCGAGCACAAACGGTTCAGATCCTTTTTTCTTTTTTGATACAGAACCTGTAAGCTGTGTCCTTTTTGCAAACACACTGAATAACTGAACAACCTAATGAAAAAATAAAAAAAAGTAATGACTTCTGATTGCTTCCTGGTTGTCTTTTTTTCCTATAGTTAATCAGTAAATTCTCTTTTGCACTTTTATTTATTTTGAAAATCCAGAGGATCAAAGCCACCGGATAAGGGGGGTGTTGTCTATGATGATTATCAACCAAAATCTCTCTCTGTCAGACGAAACCCTCATTAATTGACTTTATTGATCTCACAGTGCAGAAAAATGTACCCGTTACATCGGGTCTAATAGTCAAAAAGAGGTACCAAAAGGAAGAATTTCATGTTTCATATGCTTTCATGTTGTAGATGCCAAATTCTGACCCTACCATCCGAATGTTGCAGCAGAAATCGAGACTCATCAGACCAGGCAATGTTTTTCCAATCTTCTATTGTGCAATTTCGATGAGCTTGTGCAAATTGCAGCCTCAGTTTCCTGTTCTTAAGTGAAAGGAGTGGCACCCGGTGTGGTCTACTGCTGCTGTAGCCCATCTGCCTCAAAGTTCGACGTACTGTGCGTTCAGAGATGCTCTTCTGCCCACCTTGGTTGTAACCGGTGGTTATTTGAGTCACTGTTGCCCTTCTAGACTTAGACTTAGACTTAGACTTAGACTTCTTTATTTGTCATTTTGTATGCACAGGGTGCATACAGAACGAAATTGCGTTACATACAGCTTATGAACGTTGCATTGATATTTCAAATGGCACGAGTTATAGAAAAATACAAAAAGTGCAGCAGTGGTCAAAGTGTGAACAGTGCAGAGGATAAGAGACAGTGTGCAAGTTGCAGTGGTTCAGTGCAAAATGGCATTTGTGCAAAAAATGCGTTATTGAAAAATACAATGAGATGAACAATTTAAAGGGCTAAAAGTTAAAAGTTCAGCAGCATTTGATGCCCGATAATGTGCAATAGGTGCAGAGTTCGGATTGTGGATCAAAGGTTCAACAGTCTGATGGCAGTGGGGAAGAAGCTGTTGCACAACCTGGTGGATCTGCAGCGGATGCTGCGGAACCTCTTTCCAGAGGGCAGCAGGGAGAACAGTCCATGGTGGGGGTGTGAGGGGTCTTTGATGATATTACGGGCTCGGGACACACAGCGCTGTGATGAAATGTCCTTAATGGAGGGAAGAGGAGCCCCAATGATTCCTTCCGCTGTCCTCACCACCCTCCTCACATTCTTCCAGTCAGAAGCTCTGCAGCCTCCACACCACAGAGAGAGACAGCTGGTCAGAACGCTCTATCAGCTCGAACCAGTCTGGCCATTCTCCTCTGACCTCTGGCATCAACAAGGCATTTCCGCCCACAGAACTGCCGCTCACTGGATGTTTTTTCTTTTTCGGTCCATTCTCTGTAAACCCTAGAGATGGTTGTGCGTGAAAATCCTGTTAGATCAGCAGTTTCTGAAATACTCAGACCAGCCCTCCTGGCACCAACAATCATGCCACGTTCAAAGTCACTCAAATCACCTTTCTTCCCCATACTGATGCTCGGTTTGAACTGCAGGAGATTGTCTTGACCATTCAATTCTATTCAGTTTATTTATATAGCGCCAAATTCACAACACATGTCATCTCAAGGCACTTTACAGTTCAACCAGATCATACAGCCAAATTGATACAAAGTTTTCTGTCTAAGGAAAACCAGTTGATTGCATTGACTCAAATACAATCCCTCACACTAAGCATGCTTGTAGCGACAGTGGAGAGGAAAAACTCCCTTTTAACAGGAAGAAACCTCCAGCAGAACCAGGCTCAGTGTGAGCGGCTATCTGCCGAGGCCGACTGGGGTTCAAGGAGACGGAAGCAGAGACACAAAAAGCAGCTGTAAAAGGCGGCCCCGTCCAGGAAACACACAGCCAGGCAGACGAGCTCCGAGCCAGCTCCCATTCCAGAGGACGAAGAGAGCACATCTACTCAGTCACGGTCAGAGAAACAGGACTACACTGGAAAACAGGCCGATCTCCAACATCTATAAACAAGGGTGTTGATGGAAGCAGCACAGCTGATGTTTCTTTCCAGGATGACGTCACAGCCAAACAGGAACAGACGAGGCCAAGCTACTCTGAGGAAAAGCAGAGAGAGCAGAAGGTTAGAGATTGAACAGATTCTGCAGAATAGGAGAACAGAGAGAGAATGGAGCAGAATGATGAAATGGGGGTCCCCATGTCCTCCAAAAGTCTAAGCCTATAGCAGCATAACTATAGAGATAGCTCAGGATAACCTGAGCCACTCTAATTAGAAGCTTTATCAAAAAGGAAAGTTTTAAGCCTAGCCTTAAAAGTAGACGGGGTGTCTGCCTCAGGGACTAAAACTGGTAGTTGGTTCCACAGGAGAGGAGCCTGATGACTAAAAGATCTGCCTCCCATTCTACTTTTAGAAATTCTAGGAACCACTAGTAAACCTGCAGATTGAGAGCGAAGTGCTCTGTTAGGAACATAAGGAACAATCAGATCTCTGATATCAGATGGAGCTTGGCCATTTAAGGCTTTATATGTGAGAAGGAGGATTTTAAATTCTATTCTTGATTTAACAGGAAGCCAATGAAGAGAAGCCAGGATAGGCGAGATATGATCTCTCTTTTTAATTTTCATCAGAACTCTGGCTGCAGCATTTTGGATCAGCTGAAGGCTTTTAACTACAGTTTGTGGACTTCCTGATAGTAAAGAATTACAATAGTCCAGCCTTGAAGTAACAAATGCATGGACTAGTTTCTCAGCATCACCCCTGGACAGGAGATTTCTAATTTTTGCAATGTTCCTCAGATGAAAGAAGGATATTCTAGAAACCTCTTTGATATGGGATTTAAATGACAGGTCCTGATCAAAAATAACACCAAGATTTTTTACTTTAGTATCTGAAATCAGTTTAATCCCATCCAAATGAAGTGACTGGCTAATCAGCTTCTTTTTCAGAGACTCTGGTCCAAAGACTATAACTTCTGTTTTGTCTGCATTCAGAAGCAGAAAGTTAAGAGTCATCCAGGTTTTTATGTCTTCAAGACATGCCTGTAATCTATGTAATGGGTTAGCTTCATCTGGATTTATAGACAGATATAGCTGGGTATCATCAGCATAACAGTGGAAATTAATCCCATGCTGTCTAATAACTTTACCAATTGGGAGCATGTATAAAGTAAAGAGAATTGGTCCTAGCACTGATCCCTGTGGTACTCCACAGGTAACCTGTGAGCATGTGGAAGATCTATCATTAACATGAACAAACTGAATTCGATCAGATAGATAAGATTTAAACCAGTCTAGTGCTGTTCCTTTAATTCCAACAAAATATTCAAGTCTTTCTAAAAGAATATTATGGTCAACTGTATCAAATGCAGCACTAAGATCTAACAGGACGAGCACAGATACAAGTCCATTATCTGAGGCCATGAGAATATCATTAGTGACTTTCACCAGAGCTGTTTCAGTGCTATGATGAGCTCTAAAGCCAGACTGAAACTCTTCAAAAAGTTCATTATGGTGTAAGTGATCGCAAACTTGTTTGGCAACTACTTTCTCAAGAATTTTGGATAAGAAAGGAAGATTGGGTATAGGTCTATAATTAACCAAGTCATCTGGGTCAAGAGACGGTTTCTTAAGCAGAGGTTTAATTACAGCAACCTTAAAAGCTTTAGGTACATATCCCTGAAACAGAGATAGATTAATCACATCTAAAATGGAGGAGGAGATCAAAGGGAATACCTCCTTAAATAACCTGGTTGGAAATGGATCTAACATACAAGTTGAAGGCTTAGATGAGGACAATAATTTTGCTAATTCAGAAAGTTCAACTGGATCAAAGCAGTCTAAACCCGGTTCAGATTCCATGACTACCTCAGGTACAATCGCGGATAGAGGAGTGCTTATGATCTTATTTTTAATAAGATCAATCTTATTTTCAGTGGGCGCTGGTTGGAAATGGACACTTCACTCACGCTCCGCGTGTTTCACGTATTGTGTGAAAAACATGTGACTACTATAGCCACTAGGTGGCAGTCTGACTCCATTTCGGCGTCCCATGAGTCAGAATTACATAGGTCGAGTAGCAGACTGGAAGGGGTGTCACGGGTTGCGAGTTTATAGCGCAGAGGTTAAGCTGAGTGGTCTTTGGTTCAATAGACTGTGGGTTCAATCCCAGCTGTGGCCGAGTTGCCTTAAATGTTTTTGTTTTTTTTTTATTATAATTATCGCTTTTTTATAAAGTAATGAAAGTTAGAATGTAAAGTAATGAAACCAGGTTTTCTATTTTTGAAACAACAATTGGAGTTATTCGTTGGACATTCACGCATGAGCCTGTATAAAAAGAGGAGCTGACCAGCTCCTTTAGTCAGAGACTTGCAGTAGACACCGTGTCTGTACGTTTGTGGGCCTGCAGTCAACTGAAAAGCAGGTTTATTGGGGATCTTGGTGTGATATTGTTCTATTTTATTTTGTTTTTGATTAAAATAAAGTTAATGAATTAATTTAACATTGGGACTGCATAATCTTATTTCATGAAAATATTTATAGATAGATTGATAGTAGTTATAGATACACCTCCGATCTTATCTGAGAACTGTTATTTCTATTTATCTGCATCGCTATTATTTAATGAAAAATAAAATTAATTAAGTTGGAGCCGGGGATACGGACTGTAGCGCAACCAGAGAAAGGCGACAGAGACAGTGCTGCGGCTGGTGATGTTGAAATTAAAATCATATCCAAAGTTGATTCCTCATTAAGATAAGCCAAAGTTATTCAAAAGGGTATGTAAGAAAATATATTTTCTTTAGTTTTGTAAAATATAAGTGCCGTTGAAAGCTTTGTTTTTGTGTGCTACTTTCTTGCCGTCCAATACGTGACTGGGAGGGGTGTCACGTGTTGCGAACTTATAGCGCAGTGGTTAAGCTGAGTGGTCTCCAGATCAACAGCTCGTGGGTTTAATCCCAACTGTGGCCGAATTGCCTTAAATGTTGTTTTTTTTTTTTTATAAAGCATCTTAATGCACCTTTTTCCTCCCTGTTTGCACCTCCAGTAACTTCTATGCCAATATGTGA